TACAGGCCAATGGGATGCAACACTTTGTGTTTTGAGGTATCTCAAGGTCATGTCAAGCTTAAGGTTACTTTATTCAGATCAGGGTTAATACGAGTGGTTGCTTTTACCTTAAGAAGGAGATGGTAGGATATCCGGTTTTCAGACACATATTAGGTTGGTTATCCCATTTCCCAGAGATCGACTTCAGGATACAACATTCTTTGGAGGAAATCTAGTTTCTTGGAAAAACAAGAACTAATATATTGTCTTCTAATCAAGTGCCAACTCAGATTATAGAGTAAATGCAAATGCGGCATGCAAAATGATGTGGGTATTGAGACTTGTAAGAGAAGCTTGGAGTATGTATTGAGAAAGCTTAGAGTATGTATATGTGACTTAATGAGACTATATTGTGATAACTGGTCTAGCATTCACATAGCCAAAAATCAAGTGTTACATGAGAGGACCAAACATATTGTGCCTGGAAAAACAAGAACCAACATGTTGTCTTATGATCAAGTACCAACTCAAATTATAGAGCTACGACAAATATGGCATGCGAAATGACATTGGTAAAGAGACTTGTAAGAAATCTTGGAGTACGTATTGAGAAAGCTTGAAGTAAGTATAGGCAACTTGATGAGACTATATTGTGATAACGTTTCAGCCATTCACATAACGAGTAATCAAGTATTCCATAAGAGGACCAAACATATTAAGCTTGGAAAAACAAGAACCAACATGATGTCTTCTAATCAAGTGCCAACTCAAATTATAGAGTTATGGCAAATGTGGCATGCATAGTGACGTAGGTGAAGGGACTTCTAAGAGATCTTGAAATACTTACAGGCGACTTGATGAGACTATATTGTGATAACCGGCCAGCCATTCACATAGCCAAGAATCAAGTATTCACTGAGAGAACCAAACACATTGAAATGATTTCCTTCTCATTCAAGATTGTGTTGTGGGAACACATACAGATCCTCTAATACACATCAGGACTGAGCATCAACTTGCAAACATTCTCAGGAAGTCATTGCGAATTACTTATGTTGATTTTATTTGTAGCAAGTTGGATATGATTAACATATTCACTTCAACTTGACGAGGAGTGTTAGATATAGTAAATTAGGAATCTGATTTTGTGTTGGTAATTTTAGGTTTTCCTTAATTAAGTCTCTCATATCTTTGATTACGTTCATTTCTACTAATACTGTTACCTAAATTTTCGTTATTTTTATTTCATGTTTCCTCTTACTATTATCATTACTAATACTAGCTATATATCCATACGACACAACGAACTATCAAATGTTATTATAAATGGAGGACAAGAATTTTGAATTGTTTTGATTTTTTTATTAATGGGGAAAGTGGGATAGGGGTTTTAGAACCGATGCCCTAGTTGTCCACTTAAAAATGAAATCGGATGCCAAAATTAGAACCATATGAAGTTATTTAAACCTTGTAAAATGATGGATTTAAACGTGCATGATTTCTTCAATATATTTGAAGTCTTTCCTAATTATCGCTAAGACGTTGTCGTTGTTAAATGTTGATATACTTCTTTGGCGGTTATATCGTTATCAACTTAGCAAGTTCAAAATTTAATCCGCTCTATAGTATTTGGTCAAAACTATTCGACTAATTCTAGCAACAAATGAAAACTTTGATCAATTCCGGTGTGAATCGTGTTTTCTTTTGTTCGGTTAGAAAAAACCGACTCCAAAGCTATGCTGCTAATTTCATAAAGAAAATATATGATTAGCTCATGAAGAGAACTACACATACCCAACTATCGTGGCATTCGTAATATTTCAATAACCCTCCAAATTCACGTGCTAATATTATGATTCTTTATGAAAGACTCATAAAACGCTTTCAGTTAGCAAGATTTTTGCACCTAAATACGTTTAAGCATTAGGTGGATCGAATTCCATTGGATATGAAAACTTTACCCGTGGGGGAGGTATGGGAACGCATATTTATTTTCATACCATAAACGGAGTCGGGGAGGCATTACCTGCCCCTACTTAGGCCCTGATTAATTTTTTTATTTTATTTAATATATTTATATAGTGTGTGTATAAATAAATTATATATACAAATTTATTATTAAATGATAAATATATTTGATTTTTAATATTGGTAATTAATTTAGTGACAATTTATTATAATTTTTATTGTAAAATATATTGTTTTTTACTAAACTGACGGGTTCCCAAAACCCGTCGGCAAATTCCTTTCCCTCAAGCCCGTAGAGGATTAGTCGGGGTCGGGGTAGAGGAATGTATTACTCGCTCCATTTCCATCCCTGGATTCCACCATATAGGTGCATCAAATACATATTTTAAATGCCTAAACCAACATCCTTATACAATAATACGTATATAATTGATAAATCAAATTCAATGGCATGTTACACAAAAATATGAACATGGTCAACTATACAACGTCACAATCTAAGGTGACATTTGTTTTTTAAGAAGTGTTGAAATCTGAAGTGTGATGCTGAAATCTAAATCAGTTAGACTGTTTTTACGTCTAAAGTCTAAAATCTGAATCAGTCAATAATCGGTAAATAACCCCTTATTTATCAAGAAATTAACTCATCTCAACATTGTATAATATTCACCCAAAATTCTATGTTTGAGGCTGCAAATGTATGCATCATACATATTGATAGTGGTATTTTTTATTGTCTAGAATTCTATATAGTTGTTGTATACAATGGTATCTATTTCTCAAATGGGTTTCTGTATTCTTGGATTTTCTCAAATAGGTTCCTGTTTTTTGTTTTTGGATTTTATCAAATGGGTTTTTGCATTTTTGGGTTTTCTCAAATGGGTTTCTCTTGGATTTTGGTTTTGCAATTTAAATTAATAACTTTTTTGATGTTGGAAAACCAGGTGCATCTTACTAGGTGTAACACTGGAGTGAATGATTCAATTCTTCAAAAGAACATAGAGTATGTTTGTAGAGCTGGGGCTGATTGTGGTCAAATCAATCAAAATGGTCTATGTTTTAACCCTAACACAGTCAAAGATCATTGCAACTATGTTGTTAATATCTTTTTTTTTTAAAGCTAAACTCTAATACACCGTGTCTTCTCAGGCACGACCACTGTGGTAATTTAGTTGTTGATTTTTTTTTGGATGATGGTAATTTACAGGGACATCTTCTACTATTAAACCATCATGCATACCATTAAACAATCAATTAAATACCTGATGCTAAGACCTCTTAATACACAAGGCAAGTTATGCTAGACCTCTTAGGGAAGGGAGGTTTTGGCTATGTATTACTTTAATAGTATTTGAAAATTGATGTCAAATTTTATGTTTTGAAAAAAAAAACACCATAGCTTAAGGATAACTCATGTGTTATATAAGAAAGATGAACCAAGTCTAATAGAAAATCTTGTTCACTGTTGGGAGTTGATTGTTTCATAGATAAAAAATGAGATTATATCATATCTTGTTAAATTTCTTTGTTTTTACAGAGAGAATTTGTTGTATACGATGTTTATTAGTTTATCCGGTGCCCTAAGTTCATATAGCTATGAATCAACATAAATACAGTTATAACTTTAATATATGGTTGAAAGGGGTATATGAAAAAGTTAAAGCACAACAGAAACAGTCTGCCATTGAAGTTCTTTGTTGATTCTTCAACATCGGGTAATAATTTTCTGTTTCCAAGCTTTGATTTCGGGTTTAGGGTTTTATTTATATTAGAGTTTTTAGAAAGGTTGTTGGGTATTATACAAAGGAAATCAAAGATGCAAAAGAAATCAAACAAACACAGAGAAGTATAGCAGAAGCAGAAATCAAAGAAGCAATACAAAAAAGGAGATCGATACCTGAGATCTAGGAGAACTTGAGAGGTTCAAGAGATCGAGAGTTGAGAGAGACCGAGAGATTGAAATCTAGAACTGAAGGCGAAGAACGGTGGTAAGAACTTAGAGAGCTTGAAACCAAGAGATTGAGAACTTGAGAGCTTGAAATCGAGAACCGAAGGCGAATAAGGTAAGGTAAGAATTAAGAGGTTTTAAGGGTTTTGTCTACAACTTATAATTTCAGACCAGATTCAGAGCTTTTAAGCTCTTATTTAGAGAGAAAGAATAACAAACACTTTTAATACCCAAAGGCTGACCGATTCAGACTTCAAAGGGTATTAAGAGGTATTGTTTTGAAAAACAAACAGCCTCTAAGTGACGCAACTTATCAAGTTTAAAAAAGAATTGTTGCATTGACTTGCTTGTTTATATTTTGTTTGAAGTCATGTTTGAATCCACTTGGTCAAGCGTGGGCTACGAAAGTGTGCAAACGATAACCGTTATCGGGTCACCAACTTCTTTGTCATGCTCCGAGTTAACTCAGCATCATAACTCCAACTCGCTAGGCTTACCAATTTGCATCCAACTCAAACCCATAACGGTCTATGTTGTAGTTTCAACATGAAATTTCTATCCACTGTAAAAAGTGCACCATATTTTTTGGATTGTTTTGTCCATTAACCACTTGACAATATTCAAAAATCAATCCCTAGACCAGTCCCTTATTAACTGGTCGTTTTTAACGGTTCCCGTTGGATTTCAATCACCAATCCTTCATGACCATCTCTACAAAACATTACTTCTTGGATTAAATCTACTAGATATTATCAACTCTTTATTTGATATCAAATGAAAAGGGACACTTTCCATTGATATTGAACTACCCAAAATGAAAATGTACAAGTATTGAGAACGAATACAGAGTGAGGGCAACAATCTAGCTTCCCACCTTCATTCCTATTGTCTACAGTTGTACCTCCAAAACCCATATCAGGTACTCTCATTACATTTGGTCATGATGCTTCTTGATACAAATTTTACCATCTATAATTTCATCATCTTCTTACCAAAAGAGGTAAAGAAACCATAAACTGGTAAAACCCTGATAATTTCTTAGACCCTCCTTTCTACATTGCAACTTTAGGGGGAATATCAGGTGTCCTAGACTAACAAGACAGAATATTGAAGGGTCGGTCAACATTCTTTTATACACACGATTGTTAGCAAGATTATTGTTTGTTAAAATGTAACACGTATTATAAACACACCCACGAAAAACTTATTACATTCATACCACCATAATGGCATTTCTTGTTGCCCTTCTTGTTGCTCCCCTTCACTTCTCAGGCATCTTTTCTCCCCTATATGAAACCATCAAGAATTTAGAACAAAACCACAATTACCATCATTGTCCTTAACAGTTGGAAGCATAAGCTCTTACAATCAAGAGTACAACTAACAGTTTAAACACTTTCAAAAACCCTCATCGCTGCATGCTAATAAGTTCCATAATCAGTTTTTGCTACAAGTAGTCGAATCAATATAATAAGCAAGAATATGATTCAACCCTGTGTTATAAGCACTTCTACTTGGAACAATATTGGTTTTCAGGCACAAAACAAGAATATGATTCCAGTCCAATAGCCTATACTGGCTTTAAAGAATAAAACTATTTGCTCATTTACATAAAAAGGGTTAGAAATATATCTATCTTTGCAGTTTGCACAACCTTTATCATATCATTCACACTAAAACCACCTCAATGTAAGCCTTACCAAATACTATGTGTGATACATAAAGAGCCATGAACCAAGAAATCCCTAAGATTCGCAACAATTTAGTAATCAAAACACCCATCTGCTTCTACTCGTGTTTCCTTGATGTTTAGTCTAACAGCCTGTAACATATCATCTTGCTTCTCAGTCAATAACAACCTAAAAGCCTATCCGAAAACAATGAAACGTCAACCAGTAGGATTTCAGGACAGATCCAAAACAAATAGCAACTCAAAAGCATTGTCCGCTCTCAGCCTTATGAGTTATAAAAAAAATCCTATTTAGCCTATGAAAAACAAACTATTACACCCTAAAGTCACTGTTACTTTGAAAGCATTCATGAATTTTACTATTTACACCTTTAGCTGTTTAGCCACATAACCCCTATGCAACCTTAAAAATTCTTTTTGTTCACATAAGCAAACACCATCAAAAGATTTACCTCAATAACATGTCAGAAGGTAATTTCTTACCATAAAGTAGAGTGTCCGAACCATAATAATCCTATGATGCATGTACATATAGGTAAAAACAAGAAACAATAAGTGTCAAGCGATTATTATGGGGTCCAACTCTTAAGTTTGCATTCACACCCTAATAATTTAAGGCCCACAAACAATTCTAGCAATCGGTCTACATTCTGAAACAAACAAGTTTGGATCCTTGGCCATCAGCCCCAGATTAATATGAGGCCAAAAGTGTATCTTTCTGTTCTTCCAAAAACGCAAGATTAACATCTAGTTATGGCGATATCTACGTGTTTAAAAGCAACAAAAGAAGCATAGATATATACGCTAAACATATGTTTGATACAATAAACACATGCTGACAGGCATACACAAACAAGTTGATAATCATATTAGTTGGCAATGGAAAAAGGATAGATCCAAAGGGGAAATAGGAAAAGACAGAGCATGATTATAATCCATAAAAAAACCAAGAAAAAACAAGATCATATGGCCATAGAGCATGCATAAGTGCATATAACTAGCACTTTAACCATACACCCAAAAATATCATCATGCATTTGACAAACGAAGGATTAGAATTTGAATCTAAATCCAACACCCACGAAAAAAACTATCAAAAGCGGTCAGGTTGTCATCATAATAAAGCGGTAGCAGTAGTAGTAATAATAATAATAATAATCGAGAAATTCACTTCTTGAGGCTGCCACGAACACCGGGGCGAGGTTTGGACGTATCAGCAACAGGTGCAAGAAGGGCATGGAGGTTATTGATCTTAGATTCATCAAAGGGAATCTTAGGGTGCTTAGCATCATGGTGAATCTGCATCGTTTTAACATCCGGTGCGGTGATCTTGCAGTGCGGGCACTCGTACTTAGCGTGACCACCTTTTTCCTGTCCGGTGCGATCAGCGACTCCGGCCTTGCCACCTCCTCTGTTGGTCGTCGCTGCATCCACCTTCGCGGCGATCTCCTTCGCCGTGTGCTTCTTGGGCTTCGCTTTTCCTGTCATAACTACTTGATTCTGCAAACGATTAGGGTTTCGATGGACGATTAGGAGGAGCGAAACGATGAAACGGAGAATCCTACAAATTACAAGTGAAGAACCCTAATTTGAAGGGATCATAACCATTGATGCTTGGGACCTCTTTTTGGTAATTTTAAAAAAAATTTAATTAATAAATTATAATTCTTTTTTGAAATAAATAAATTATTGATTTAAAAATGTCAAAATTTGTTTTACCGTAAACTTCATTTTTGGTACCTGTGCTTTTCCAATTGTTTGGTTTTGATCCCTATAATTCATTTAATTCAAATTTGTCATCTAATTTCTGATTTTGCTTGGTTTTGGTCCCTTCCTTTAATATCGTTAAAAAAGCTTCCATTAACTCAAGGCATTTTTGTCTTTTTTTTTTTTCTTTCATTCTTTTTCCCATGCCCATGCTACTCCTGCAAAACTCTAGCAACCTTCCCCCACTGACTATACCAACGTCTTCTTCCCCCACAACACCACAACTTTCGACTCTCCTTTTTTGGCAGAACTCAAATTCAACCTCATCTTGCAAAAACCATCTCAAACCTAAGGAAACTTAAATCAAGAACCAAATCAAAGCAAAACCTAAACACAAGAGATGAGGAGTTGATAAGGGGAGAAAACAAATTTCTTTGCAAGTCATAGTTGGGTTGAAACACCAACTTTTCCTTTGATTTGAATTACTAGGGATTCACTATGTAAATGGTGTTTGTGTTGTAAATGGAGAAGCAAAACAAGGGTAGAGAACAGGAACGGAGCCAAGATTGAGTTATAAGAAAGCACTTTCGAACCATTACACATCCTCCAAAGCTTCCTTCATAACTCCCGGAATTTCTTCGTAGTGGCTCCCTTCCATGTTAGCTCGACTCCAGGTATAGCTCTTAATGGGTATGTAGCCGTAGGCGGGAACTCTTCTCTATATCTCTTTTTCCAAGAATTCTTGCACTTCCCACATCTAAAATCTAACAATTTATCCATTTTCCATAAGGGAGCCGATCAAGCAGTGACGTTGCTCTTAGCATTAAGCCGGAACAGAATGAGGATAATGTATTGGCAAGAATGTCATATATCTTTCCCTTCAGGGAGAAGAGCGAAATACAAACAAGCTATCCCTTTTGTTAGTGAAGGTTCAGCTTGTTATAATCTCATTTCATTTTTTCTTAATCTCCCCCCCAGACCAGAGCATAGTGTGGAATCTGGGTCGTTTCATCGAGCTGTTGTTGAATATGAAGTTGTGATCAACTTAGCAGAGTGGAGCATTGAGTATAAATAAATTGACAATAAAAATAAAATATTAATTTTCTTAAGAGTCTAATGATAAACGAAGGTTGACACAAATAATAAATTAACAACAATTGTAATTTGATGTCAAAAGCACAATGCATCTAATGTTAAACAAATAACAAGGGTTCTCTTTTTATATACATTGAATTGTTGTATTTATGACTTTAAGAAATAAGACAATGACCGAAGGCCCTATTCTCTTCCAATATTCCATTTGGTTAATCACTTGTTGGAATAAACGTTTCTTAAAATAAATAAAGGGGCGAGCATGTAACTGTGTAAATGTCTGTAGAAAGCTAAATATTCTAGACTTCATTAACCACTAACTTTTAGGTTGCATGAGAATGTGGCTCCGTAGTAGTAGAGAGGACTAGATTGAGCCAATGTAAACAGGGTAGCAATGGATTGAGTGGTGGAAAAAACGAGTTTCAAATCAAATTGGAAAAAGGATGAAGGGGGAGGTTGAGGGATTGGAGATGGAGAAAGGGGGAGGTGTAGGGTTTGCCGCTAATGGAAAGGGTTCGCTGGAGATGGAGAAGGGGGATGCATGGAATTTTCCTATGACGAAGAATATGAGAATAGATCTTACCAACACACCTCATAAAAGCAAAGATAAGGGAGTTAGAATTTGTTATAACTAAACCAATTTAGTTTCTTGTTAAAAATTGCAATTGATGCCAACTATAAACATGAGTTTCATTCTTGTAAAAGAGATATGAAGATAATAGAAATGATTTCCCTCTTTATATTTATCTCTAGTCTCTTCTTCCTAAATCTCTTTGTAACTCCCGTAATTTTATTGTTCCCTGTTAGTGTGTACGTTTTTATATTTGAGGAAATCAAAAGTTTAAGCAGGATTTGAGTTGGTTGAGAACAAGTGTCTATAAGGAACAATTTAGTCTAAGAAAGTCGAGGCACTGGCTCACGCGAGTAACACTGCCACCAAATGTGCAGGACTCACTGTCCGACTTCCAATTTTGGGTGTCAGCAACTTTCACTATGGCTTTAGCCGCAGGAGTCTGTTTGGTCGATTAAATACCCGATTTTAACCTAGCGTTTTCGTTTCTAACCTCTTCTCTCCTTCTCTACTCATTAATACAATATGGGTGTATTAAATACTCCATTCAAGGTTTGTTGAAAGGCTACAAAGCTAGGGAATTAAGCTTGGATCAAGTAGCTAGTTCATCTTCTCCGTCTAGAGATCTTGGTTTCTAAATTTTATGTAGAAATCCACCAAGGTGAGTTTCTTCTCCATTTTTTAGCTTTATGATGTCTAAGTCATAACTGTCTATTTATATCAATGATCTTTTACAAATTTCTTTTTATACAAAGTTTTGGAGGGTTTTGGATCACTAATGGCACCTTTTTTTGGGGCAAATGGATCTTTGTCTCTCATGAGGTTTTAAAACTAATAGTGATTCAATGGCCCTTTTGGGTAAACTTACATATGTATATTTGTTGAAATGGAAGGTTATTGTGAACAAATTAACTTGACTCATGATTTCTTCTTTTGGGGACAAATAGCTAAATGATTGGATCTCACTCTAAATGTTGGGTAAATATTGTTTTAATGCATGAAACCTATGGATTTTCTTGTGTATGGTTTAATTATACTAATTACCCTTATTTGGGGGGGGGGGGGGTGTTTGCCCTACTACCCCTTGGAGCTATAGTTGATTAACATTGTTATGGTAAGTGGTATTCGTCAAATTCCTCAAGTATGCATAGTTTACCTTTAGTGTCATGTTGCATTGGATCCATATGCATTGTACATACTTATATCAAGAGAGGAGTTTTGATGTTCTCTTCTTGTTGTCATTGGTTAGAGACAAGTGAGAAGTTTTGATATTCTCGCCTTAGAACCCTTAATTATAAACCACTGAGGAGTTTCGAGGTTCTCATCATGTAATCTTGGGGGCTGACTAGATGAAGAGTTTTGAGGTTCTTATCTTTGCCCCATGTGGAGTATCACTATGGCTTGTATGCTTAGTGTGACTTATTTTTCAACATCTTAAATGTGGCTTACTTAGTGTTCTGTCACTTGATGGAATCGGGTCTCCCCTGTTATTGCAAGATATATTGATTGTATCTTATCTTTCTAGTAAAAAATGGTGTGAACTAGACTTTGGTCCCTCAATTCGCACTTCTTTCATTTTAAGGAGGGCAAACGTATCTTATATTTGAACTATGTGGCTTTTATGTTTTTTTATAAATTGATTGAGCTCACTAGGCATTAGCCTAATACTTCTTTCTTAATGTCATGTTTTAGCATGGCTTAGTAAAGATGGGCCTAAGGGCAGATGATCTAGAGCTTGGAGTCCATTTAGAGGCATTTGTGAAGAGCTTATATTTTTGAAGATAACAACTTTGTCAGTTGATGTAACACCCGACTTGAATCTAGTCCGACTAGGATTAGACAGAAGTCTTTAGACCTATGATACATAAATTTATTTATGTGCTATATTGTAAACATTGATACCTTTTTTGGATAATTACTTTTATTTTGTAATTGTGATCGGCTTTTACCGAAGTTCAATTTGTTTGCTATATTCAAAATTTAGAGGTGTTACACTATCTTTCCCTTGTTCTTCCATTAAAAGACAGCTTCAAGCTTCTTGTATCAATCAAAGGTTAAAATGACATATTGCAAAATTATAAATAAATGAAAATTCTTGCCATTTTTATTAAAGGGTAAAAAAAGATTTGAATGTAAAATTTAAAAAAGCAAAATATCCTTCATAATTAAATACATGAGAATAATTTTACGGATTATGCTTATCACTTTGATTTGAAGTACCAATTTCATCCCTAAAAGAAATCTAAAAAATGGTTCTTGTACTTCTTCGTCATTGCCTATTACAGCATCAATCAACTATAGAGGCTCCCAATTTGGTTTTGCTCTAGGAGAAGACAATTGATCAAGAAAATTTATAGGTATGTGGGGCTCATCCACGATGCAAAAAGCCTTCTCTCATGTTTCTATGTATCCCTTAGTATGTCTACTCTAAGGTGCTGCTTACTAAACGCTTACCTAATAAATGCTTACTAGGTCATTTTATCTTATCGAATGATCAATGACAAAGATTGAGAATCTTCCTCGGTAAGATCAATTACAAGGACCAATAGTCTTACCTGGTAAGTGAAAGTGACGACACTTACCCGATAAGCATTATCGGAGAAAAATATTCCACATGATGTCATTTTAACGGAATAAAGTTTCACCGGTAAGTTAAGTGAAAGTGTTTACTCTTAGCGGAAAACATTTACTGGGTAAGCATTGGTTAACAGGCCCTATATGTCCCCATTGTGATTGCTAAATACATTCTTATAGCATCTTCAACATGTATGCTATATTTTCCTTTTTTCTTTTAAATTCGGAGATTTCTCCATTCTCTCTTTTACATAAGAGTTTCGCATAGCTATTGGAGCAAACTTTTCCAAATCTTAAAAAATTTAAAATAGTATAGCTGTTGGAGATGCTCTTATATATTAGGGTATTGCTATTTACACTTTTAATAGAGGTATTATTACGTCCAAGTTTTGTACCTAAATCTGTTGTATCCAAGCTTTAAGCTTTTGTGCTTATCTTGTTGTATATATAGGTGCTTTAGTGTTAGTTTTAGTAGAAGTAGTGTATTGTAAGATTCACTTTGTAATCTTTGAATATTGAATACAATTAACGCTTAAAAGATTTTCTTTCTCTAAGATTTCTACTCTCTTTCCACATCTTATGTTGTTCTTGATTGTTGATCTTGAATCAACAAGAATTGTGTATTAATTAATCCAATCTAAGATTACCAATTGGTATCAGAGCAAGTTACAACAGCTTAGAAATCGAACTAGATTGAATCGGACTGTATTTTTGGATAATTTTGGACTGTTCTTGATCATAAGTTTTTTGTTACTATTTTGATTCGATTTTACATAATCTGTTTGAGTTTTGATGATTGTTTGATTGTATTATGTGCATATAATCAATGGAATTGAGTAGAATCATTTAATTTCAAAATTGAATTGATTTCAATGGTCAAGTTTGAATTTTTTTAGTGATTTGAGTTCTTGATGTGTTCTTGAACTGTTTGGGTGATTTTCATTAAAATTGGTGAATTTGATATGTTTTTGGTATGAATTGGTTCTGAAAACTTGTTTGTGTTCATCTTGAGAATCGATCTTCGTTGATTTTATTCAATTTGGTGTAATTTTGAGTGTTTCTGGATTGATTTCTGTATTTTCACTAACAGTTTCTTTAATCGCCTAATGAACATGTTCATCAAGCGATAAGACTCAGTTATCGCCTCTTGAATATCTTTGTTGACCGATTAGTTTTGTTTTGTGTGATAAAAGTGGTGATTGATAAGGTGAGTTGAGTTTTGATTGGATAAAGTTCGTCCGATAAAGATTGATTCCGAATAAAGCTTGTCCGATAAGGAGTGTTGACCGATAAGAGATTGTAATCGATAAAGGTGATTGATGAGGCTTTGTGCGATAAAGCCAGTCCGATAAGGTGAGGTGATTGATAAAGAAAGTGTGCGATAAGGTGTATTGTTCGTCAATATTGTGATCGATAAGAGTTCCGTCCAATAAGACTTCAATGGAAAGTGTTTTGGGCGATAAGGGTTGACAGAAAACGTTTGTCCGATAACTTGTTGGGAGTTATATATTTGTTGTCCGATAAGAAAGTTTTGAAAGTTTAAAGTGTTGTCCGATTAGTAAAGTTGTTAATATGTTCTCTAAGTTTTGAACTGTATAAAGATCATTTTGTGATTAATCAATTTGAAAATATTTGAAATGGCTTTAAAGATTGAAAGAGATAATAGGGAATTGAAAGAGAGAATTTCTAAATTGGAAAGGAAATATAAAAAGAAACAAGACAAATATGTTGAATTTTTTTTTTAAAACCATTCTAATCTTTGCTGGGCAAAATATTTGGTTAAAGAAAATGAGCAATTTCTTGAAGAAAAGAAACTTTTAAAGGAATAAATTGATGAATTTATATCTAGAGAATTTTCATCTGATTTCCAAGAAAGTAATGTTGAGCAGATAAAGAAAAAATCGTTTTGACATCAAGGGTTTATGAAGTTGAGAGAGCTTTAAATTTAGAAAGAAAAATTCATGAGAAGGAAAGGAAAAGATTAAATTGAACTGGAAAATTTGTTAGAGTCTGATAGTTTGAATTCTAATAAAAAGGGACTTGAGAAGGAAATGGAAAGGTTTTCTGAGGTTGAGAAGAAATTTGACGCTGAAAAGAAGGTTCTTGAAAGCAAAATTAGAGTTCTTGAAATGAACAATGCAAAGCTTTCTAAAAATATCTAAATTTGAAAAGAGAATTATTTTGTAAAAAGCCAAATTTGAGGATGAGAAGAAAGATTTAATGAAAGAGTGAGAAAAAATGTCTGGAAATTTCTAAGAGCATTGTTGCTGATAAGAAAAGTTTGGATGTAGAAAGAAAAGCATTTACTACTGAAAGAAAGAATACTTCAAAGAAGAACGCAACTATTGCTAAGGAGCTGACTGAGAAAAAGAAATGGTTAGACATTGCTTCTGATAATGAGAAGGGAAGTTTTGAGAAAGAATTTGAAAAGGAAAGATCAGATTTGGAAGGTAAGATTTCTGAAACTTTAAAGAAATTATCTGATTTAAAACTGATCTTGTATCTGAAATGAATATGAGATCTGAGTTTAAAAAGAAATATGATTTAATTACTGAAGAAAGAGATTAGTTGCTAAAGACAATAAAAGAATTTTCTAAATCAAGTGTTTCAAGCTCAACTGACCTGCTTGAATGACAGTTCTAGTGTCAAATCCAACAATTATTCAAGTAGTTCTAAATCAACTGTTTCAAAGAACAAATCTCATATTCCAATCAGTAATACAAAGGTTATGTTATTGGATCAGATAATCATTTTCAAAGAGTGAAAAAGGTTTGGATGAAGAAATCTGAATCTGATGGTATATTTTCTTAAAACTCTGCCTGTAATAAGAAATCATTTGTATCTAAGATTGTTTTACCTTGCATTGTTAAGTCTACTTACCACCTTATTAGTCTTAACAAGAGAAGGATTTGATGTTCAACCGATGGAACAAATGACTTCATAAACAAGAAGAAAGAAAATAGCTAGAATGGAAAAGGTAAGAGGAATAATAGCTGGTATGGAAACAGCTAGACTAGGAATGACATGTATGATAACAACTGGTATGGTACTTATTGCATATCTGATTTACCTGTTAAGAATACTCATATGAAAACATCTGATCAGAAAAGATCGGGTTTGGTACTTATGGTATACCTCAAACCAGAACTAACAAACTAGGATCCATGAAAGTATGGATACCAAAATCAGTATAATATTTTTTTGTAGATTTGTCATGTGTTGAGATGATTTAGAAGATTAGAATCATGATAAACCAATGCTTGGTTTGAGGGGGAGCTTATATTAAATTTTTGAGCTTAAACATAGTTTCTGAACATATAGTTCAGGACCTGGTCTTCAACACAGTTTCTGAACAAAGCACTTCAGGACCTGGGCTTATCTGTTTCAAAGGAAGTTTAATGATATATCTTTGAATTGTTTTGAAAATGATATTAATTATAGGGAGAGTATAAGGATTTTTATCATTTGGTATCATCAATATAGAGGATTTGAACTTTTATCTGATATATTTTTCAAGGGGGTATTTTTTTATATATTTGAATCTAAGATTGGTTCTTTAATGTATTTAACGTCTTGTAGACCAGATATTATGTTTTCAACACATTTTTATGCCATATATCAGACTAATACAAAGGAGTCCTATTTAAGTGTCGTTAAGCGTCTTTTTCGTTATCTGACTACTAATCTTGGACTCTGGTATCCCAAGGGTACTATGAAACACCCTATACTCAGATTTTAAAAAAATCTGGCAAAACTTCGGCATGATCCGTTCGAAAAGTCGTGTTTTGCCAAAAAAAAAAAATTAGACCTGTAAACATTTGCAAAAGTAATGATTGCAAAATAACTGACCATACAAAAACCATGATTACTAACTAGTCTTTATAAAGACGACTATTTACAAGGTATAAAACTTTCATATTCTTCCAAAAATACATTTCCCCAAACTAGGATTAAGCTTCGAAAAGTCCCAAGCATTGCATCATCCTATGAACTTACCTGCTAGCCTTATAATATTCAAGAATGTTGCTAGCACAATCACTTGAACCAGTTCCTGAGATGCACGTCGACAAACAAAACAAATCAGGCTACATGCCTGGTGAATTCAAGAGTTTTCACAATAAAATATTTCAAGTAATTTATATTATCAAACAAAAATGCATGACTTACATATGCTTGATGTGATGTGTCAAATAAATGTTAAGTTCAACTAAAACATTATAAGTTAGCAGTCAATCAATATTTATAAAGTTCTATTAATACCACACAGTATGGGGGTGACCTATAACAACCAGAATCATTGGAGGAGCACTACCCAGCAGTCTACTTATCCGTTAGGCTAATTTCGGTTTAATCACCATTGTGCAATGTGTCCACTTGACACTATACCTATTAGCCGAGTACCTGACGCATATATCCATGCACGGTACTCCAATACATTACCAATGGGAGCAACCCATTTACTGTAAAGGGAGCGACCCCAATACAAACGCAACAAAGGGGGTGATCCTAAGTTGCCAGATCCGGATCTACCATTCTCATGTCAGTGAGTAAATATATATCAATCACAATGCCCCATTTATACAACGTAAGATTTTCCTCCTTTGGATACAAAACATGTTTATTTTTAAAAAAAAATACATATCATTTTTCCAAGTCACTAAAGTATTTCCTACATACTTTATCAAAGAAACAATGCATTCTTAATATGTATAAAGTCACTTTGTATAAACATCAATACCTTCATTTCATAACATCATTTAAAATCATGCATTTTCTACTTTAATCACTAAAACACGTCCAACAAAATAAATTATGTAAAGGTAATTACGTTTGACGTGTACCCCATTAAAATCTACTTGAAACTCACCTTAGCCTATTTAGTTGAGATCCCGCCGGTGCCCAACTTGCTTATCCGCCGTGCTACCTAAACAATTCACACGCACGGTTCTCACATCAATATAAACATCATAACAAAAGATTTAGACAACTTACTTGTCTTAATATACATACCAACAAGAACCACTAAAAAATAGACTTTGAACCTTTTCATACATGAGTTTAAAAGAAACAAAACTTTTATTTGAGTCTAAAATGGACAGCTGTGCAAAAACCCAATTTTTTTTACCTATTTAGGTCCCTAACTACCTCATGATCAAAACATATTGATTGTAGAAGCCTTCACAACAGTTCCAGATTGATATTACACGTCTAAATCCGAGTTACGAGTGATTTTATACAATTTTTARAATTTTCAGCATCAAAATAACTTAGTCYGGTGACTTGCTYATATTTCACCCGAGGCTCTAGGCTCACATTCTAACCCCCAAAATATGCTTATCATACACATTGAAATATGCTTATAAGGTTCACACATTCATTTATGCACTCACAACCTAACTAATGCATAAGTTTTCATATATTGATCAAACCGAACTCAAACTTCTTTTAATTTTGAAAATTCATCAAAACCTATAAGGAACATTGAAATAATCAATGTAACACCTTTATATATCCATCATAACTATATCCACCGAACTTTAATCCATAATTTTGCATATAACGACTCAATTTTAAAAATTAAGCAAAACAGTTTGACTTTTTGGAAAAAGTCAACTGTTTTGAACATAACATTTAATCTATCAATAAAATATGTTTGAATGGAAATTTTCTTCTTCAATCCATCTAATAACATCTTAATGATTCCAAGAAACAAACCATAACAAACATCTTAATATTTTTATGAAGATTTCAAAGTCTTAAAGTTCATCACTAAACTTTGGCTTTTAAAGATTGTCAAAGATAATAATTTTTCAACTTCCACTCATGATTGAACATCTTAGATAAACTCAAAACTATCCTAAACATGATGTAAACTTACCCAACAAAATACTTCTACTATCAAGATGTATAATACCCACTTTGTTCCAATCCTTGAAGGATTTTAGGTTTCAATGCAACAAAGTGAAGGTATAACACATTGGAACTCAATTGGGGATAAAAATATACATCATAAAATCGGGTTTCTCAAAGAAATTACACATATACACGGTTGTCCACATGACAGCCGCTAAAGCTTGATTTTGAGCCCTAAAACTCCAAAAATCGAAGCCAATACCAACCTAAACATCAAATACGACAAGAAATACAACTAAGACATGAAAAACTTACCTTAATTTGACGATTAGATGAAAAACAAGCAAGACACCATCCGCGTCTTCTTCCTTCTCGTCTTCTCCCGATCCCCTTCTCTAATTCTAATATTTTTTTTTTAAACCCCTATTTATATTAATACAAGATTAAGGAAAGGACATTATAACCTCCTTGATTAACACTATAAAACAATTATTCCCCAAACTTTCAAACATCTAAATATTTATCTAACCTTTTAGAATGGGATGTTACAATTCTCCCCTGTAAAAATGAGATTTCGTCCCCAAAATCTAAATCTCAAGAAACAAATGTGGGTAGCGAGTTCTCATTTCTTTTTCCGGTTCCCATGTGACATTTGCACCCCGACGATGCTTCCATTGTACTTTAACCAACCCGATCTCCTTTTTGCGCAATTTCTTTGTCTTTCGTTCTAGTATTACCTCTGGTTCTTCAACATAATACATTGTGTCATCTATTTGAATTTCGGATAACGAAATTACGTTTTCTTCTTCCGCCAAACACTTCCTTAGGTAACATACATGGAAAGTGTTATGAATTCCTTGTAACTCTGATGGTAAGTCTAGACGATAGGCTTGAGTTTCGATCCTTTCCAACACTGTGAATGGTCCAAGGAAACGAGGACTGAGTTTTCCATGCTTCCCGAATCTGATCACTCCCCTCCACGGTGATGCTTTAAGCATAACTCTTTCTCCCACTTGAAACTCTTTAGGTCGCCTCTTCTGATCTGCGTAACTCTTTTGTCGATCTTGTGCGACTTTAAGGCGTTCCCGAATCACTTTAACTTTGTCTACAGTCTCTTGTATAATCTCAGGACCTTCAAACTGTTTCTCTCCAGCTTCTAACCAACAAACGGGTGTTCTACATTTCCGCCCATACAGTGCTTCTAAGGGTGCCATACCAATGCTGGAGTGGTAGCTGTTGTTGTATGCAAATTCTACCAAAGGCAAGTGCGCATCCCAATTCCCACCAAAGTCAAATGCACAAGAACGAAGCATATCTTCGAGAGTTTGGATCGTCCTCTCACTTTTTCCGTCGGTCTGAGGATGGTAGGCGGTACTCAGATTCACTCTTGTCCCCAACTCTCGCTGCAATCCCTCCCAAAATTTGGAGGTAAATCGGCTATCTCTATCTGATACGATGGATAAGGGTACTCCATGCCTCGAGATAACCTCGTCAATATAAAACTTAGCCAATCTGTCCATTGACCATGTTTCCTTCATCGGTAAGAAGTGTGCACTTTTTGTCAGTYKGTCTACAACTACCCATATCACATYGTGACCCTTYAACGTCTTGGGCAATCCAATTATGAAATCCATAGTAACATGATCCCATTTCCACTCTGGTATATCCAATGGTTGTAGACTTCCATACGGTCATTGATGTTCGGATTTCACTTGTAAACATGTCACACATTTCTCAACATACTTTGCTATATCGAGTTTCATGATAGGCCACCAGTAGTGCAACTTCAAATCCCGGTACATTTTAGTTCTTCCTGGATGAATAGAATATTTTGATTTATGTGCCTCCTCTAGTAACAACTCCCGGTTACCCCCAATCTTTGGCACCCAAATTCTACCTCGAAATAACTTTAGACCACGACTGTCTTCTTCTAGTAGAGATTGTTGTTTCACCATGCCTTCACCTTTTAGGTTTTCCTTCAATAAAGCTTCCTTTTGAACCTTTTTAATTATTTCAATCAAACTTGACATAACTTCAATTCTGTTGAACTTAACCAATACATCACCACTTTGTTCTTTACGACTCAAAGCATCTGCAACTACATTAACTTTTCCGGGGTGATATCTGATTTCACAATCATAGTCTTTGATTAACTCCAACCAACGCCTTTGCCTCATGTTTAGCTCCTTCTGATCAAAAACGTATTTCAAACTTTTATGATCAGTAAAAATAATACATTGTGTACCATACAAATAGTGTCGCCATAACTTTATTGCAAAGACAACTGCAGCTAACTCCAAGTCATGTATCGGGTAATTCTTCACATGCTCCTTAAGTTGTCTAGAAGCATAAGCAATTACCTTGCCTCGTTGCATTAAAACACAACCTAAACTAAATCGAGATGCATCACTGTATACTACGAAATCATCAGATCCCTCTGGCAAAGACAATACAGGTGCTTTACATAATCTCTTCTTCAATATTTCAAAGGCATTTGTATGTTTTTCAGTCCATACAAATTTCACATTCTTTCTAGTCAAAGCAGTCAAGGGTGAAGCAATCTTTGAGAAATCTTGTATGAATCTGCGGTAATAACCCGCTAATCCCAGAAAACTTCTTATCTCTGTAGGATTCTTCGGAGCCACCCAACTCATTATTGCTTCTACTTTGGATGGTTCGAGTTTCACACCATTACTGCAAATTACGTGACCGAGAAATTGTACTTCCTTTAGCCAAAAATCACACTTAGAGAACTTTGCATAAAGTTTCTCTCGTCTCAGTAACTCTAAAACTTCCTGCAGGTGTCTTTCATGCTCTTTCTCATTCTTGGAGTAAATGAGGATATCATCTATGAATACTATAACTGATTTGTCTAAGAAAGGGCGACATACTCGGTTCATCAAATCCATAAAAGCAGCTGGAGCATTCGTGAAACCAAATGGCATAACCAAGAATTCTAATGACCATAGCTGGTCCTGAATGCAGTTTTGGAAACATCTTCCTGCCGCACTTTCAATTGATGATAACCTGATCGAAGATCAATCTTGGAGAAACAACTAGCACCTTAGAGTTGATCAAACAAATCATCAATGCGAGGAAGAGGGTATTTATTCTTTATAGTCACTTTGTTCAGCTCGCGGTAGTYGATGCACATCCTTAATGTGCCATCTTTCTTCTTTACAAACAATACTAGAGCACCCCATGGTGAAGAACTTGGTCGGATTAGGGATGGCAAAAAAAACCGAAACCGACGGTGAAAACCGAAAACCGAAACTTTCGGGCCGGGTTTGGGGACATTTTATCGGGGACGGGACGGGGATCGGGGACAAATTCGGGGATTTTAACGGGGACGGGGACGGGGGCGGTGATCACCGGCCCGGCCCGACCCGATATGTATATAAATATATTTATTTTAATTTATATACATATATATATATATATATATCTTTAAAAAAAGTATCATTAAAATTTTAAAAAAAATTATCCATTTTACCTCAACAACCCAAATAAAGCTCACGAAAAGTCTAGTTTATTTGTCAAAAACCGTGATTTTAATTGTATGATGTTCGAATTTTTGTTTAGTTTTATATTATAATCTAATACATTGTTTGTAATTGGTTCAATTATGTTTGAGACATTTAAACTTAGATCTTTAAAAAAATTGTAATTTACTTTTAATTGTGAAAATTAACATATTGTAATTTATTTCATATCAATTTCGGGTTTTGGGTTTCGGGTTCGGTTATAACCAACGATGAAAAAGAGAATTTTTACCCTTAACGGGTTCCCCAACGGGGATCGGGACGGTTACGGGGACGGTTTTAGCTATCGGTTTCGAGGACGGGGATATCAATACCCGGCCCGAACTCGGCCCGTTGCCATTCCTAGGTCGGATGAAACCTTTGTCGAGAAATTCCTGTAATTGAGTCATCATTTCTTTCATTTCTGAAGGAGCTAGCCGATATGGAGAATGAGCGATCGGCGCTGCACTAGGAATGAGGTCTATACGAAACTCAACCTGACGATCTGGCGGTAAATCGGGCAAGTCTTCGGGAAACACATCAGGGTAATCACACACTACTCGAACATCTTCAGTCTTCTTCTTTTCCACTTTGGCATCCACAACGTATGCCAAAAATGAAGAACAACCTTTAATAAGGCATTTTCGTGCGTTCACCACTGAAATGATCCCCATATCACCCTTTCGCCTATCTGTATAAACTAATAGTGTTTCCCCATTAGGTCTTAAAATTGAAAGCATCTTCATTGAACATAAAATATCGACTCCATGTTTAACTAACCAGTCCATTCCTATCACAACATCAAATCCTCATATTGACAAAGGTAACAAGCTACCTGGGAACAAGATACCCTCAATTTCAATCGTGCATCCATCATAAACCTCATGTATTAACACTTGCCCCCCATTAGCTGTCTCTACCACTAATGCATTTGATAGCAAACTAGTTGATATGCTAAATCAATCACAAAATGTCATAGAAACAAAAGAGCGATTGGCTCCTGAATCAAATAGTACACGTGCAGGTATGAAATTGGCTAAGAACGTACCGGTGACTACATCATCTGCATCACGAGCTTCCTTTGCAGTCATCTGATATGCTCTACCCGGAACTCTCAAATCTTTCTTTGGCTGATTTGCTTTCAGTGTCCCCTTTCAGAATCCCTGAGCTTTGGGTAGTCACGACGAATATGTCCTGCAGATCCACACTCATAACATCGGTTTGAGTTGCTGTCACAATTTTTACTAATGTGCCCGAGCTTCCCACACTTGTAACATTTTACTGAAAATTTAGAACACTTCCCTGAATGGTTTCTGTAACAGCTTGGACATGTATTTGGCTCCATTCTTTTTTTTTTCCACTTGTAGTAGTAACATGTCTCTGTTTACTTGGTGTATTTGTCTTTCCTTCCTACTTTCTCTTTTCTCTTTTATCAGGCATTTCTTCCTTTATCTCTGACATGTCATCTTCAATCAACTGAGCTTCTTCCATGGCTTCTTGTAAAGTCTCAATACGTGCGGGTCATATGAAGGATCTCATCAGAGACGGCAGTCCTGCCAAATAAAATTTTATCTTGCTTCTTTCATCCGGTGCTACTTGTTCTAACAAGCCCAACTTTTCCATGAATCTTCTTGTATATTCGGACAATGACAAGTTGTCTTTCTTGAGATTCCTGAATTCTTTTTCAATTCGGTCTCGAGCCCTTTCATTGCAATATCGATCCAATATCTTACTTTTAAACATTGGCCAAGTCATCTCTGATACTATGGTTGCACCTAGAGCTTGTCTAGTCACCTTCCACCAACTCAAAGCTTCTCC